GACTTGCCACGGTCTCCAACCCTCCTCCTTTCTCATCCGGGCTTGGGACCGGCCATGGCGGAGTTGCTTTATAATCCAGTCAGTGAAAATTTTGTTGGGGCTTGAATACCCTGTCCTGAAGCTTGTTTGATTTCAGCGAAATCTTCTGTCGATTTCCACTATGATTCAGTAGAAGAGTTTGGGGTAGTTGTCTATTTAATCAGAATTGCAGCCGTAAGATGCGCGCATCGGATATTATGTTCGTACGTGTCACGCCCTGACTTGACGCCATTAGACGCGGTTCCTGTTCTTGACAAGTCATCGAATTTCTAACCGTCTCTGAGCTCGACGCATCGACCGTTCAGCGTTTGACCGGGATTGAATTTTTGGAATTGATTACTTGGATTCAGATCCGCACTTGAAGTGCAGAATTGTGCAACCAGTCACTGTGCCATGCCCCCTTTCCATCAACCACGTTGTCGCGCCGATGAAAACACCTGCAGACCTTTGGAATCTCCAGGATTTTGGAAATCCTGTAGTGGATATTGGCCATGTGGCCACTTTGATAGTGTTAATTGTTTATACTTCACCCCGCGACGATAGCGCCAAAAGTATTCAGCTGTTATCACATTCAAATACACTTTACAGAGATCGAAACATCGATTATTTGTTCTTCTAATTTTCTTTTTCAAGGTCAGATGTTTCTTGCCGGTAGCTTTCGCATCAGCTTCATATGGATTGTCCAGCTGATCTGGTTCTGTTCCAGTCGAGTAAGTTCCATGGATTAGAGTCGAAATTGCGATGATACCATGTCCTCAAAATTATTAAGTGTCCTGGTCCTAGGTCTACCCTTTGATTGTTTTCCGTGTCGCCTTACTAATGAAGTCCTCTGTATCAGTCTTCAATTAGTCAACCAGATGTCTTCTGGCACACATTTGTTCACCTCTCCTCATCTTATGTTAATTCACGTCGTAGTTTAGATCAAGCATCCTCTTGAAATGTGCCTTTTCATTGTTTTAATTTTTATCTCTGTCATGATGGACTTTTCTTTTACAAATATTTTATTGATATTGTTAATTATATGGTTACGACCACATCAAAACGGTTACTGTGGCATAACGTCATTTTTTTCAGGTGTTAAAACACTGCTTTCGCATTCCGTCTATCGCGGCAAGGTGCGTTTCATACGGGCGAATCGCGGCCATACGGATACCTGCTGTCAGGTTGGATGTCGAATCTGTCGAAGAGTGAGCGACAAAGACGAGGATGTGGCAGCGAGGGTGGCAGCGAGGGTGGCAGCGATGCCAAACGACGTGAGTGAAGCGCAGGATGAGATGACAAAGCTCTTGAACCACCAACTTAAAATGGTCACCGGGGACTTCTTGCATATCGCAGGAGTCATCACGCCAAGTATGTGCAGTGTGGCGCCTCACGGCTTCAGTCCAACGTGTCACCTCGGTGACGGCGTCATGCATCTGTTGTTGGTGCCTGGCATCAGTCGTCGTCAAAACGCTAGTCTGTTGTTGAGGATGATCACCGGCGATCGCACCGTGGTACGCATGATTCTTTTGTCCGTTTCGAATTCGTTGTCTAAACCCATGCCTTGCACAGTGTGCCCAGTGTAAAGCAGAAATCTAGCATTTGCTTGTCGTCTGAATTTACAGAATAATTTTTTCAATTCAAGATTTTACTTAGGCTATATCCATTTCGTGTTCGGTTTCAGTACCGGTAAATCATGATGAAAAGTTGCTTGAAAACTGTTTCTTTTATACTCCGTGCAAAACATGGTCAATCAGGTGTTTGACCGATACCGACGTTTCGGCAATCTTCAAAGCTTCAAAGTAAGGACACGGGTGAAGTTCAGAGATCGATTCGCTGATCTTGCGTTCGGAGTCAGAAGCTGAACTTTCGGTCAGTGCAGAGGGTTATTTAGTTTTGTGACAACAGGCTCGATAAGGTTCATCCGGTCCGGTCGGCACAGATTTCGTATCCTTTGTTTCACGATTGGATGATTAATGCGACTAATATGCTTGCTCAGTCAGTGTCTATCTCTACCGATTCCGGTAAATTCTGACCGTCGGAAGCCATGTACTTCCTGTGCCGCATATTGCGAATTCCAGACTTGATTTTGTTTACTTCCCGGATGCCTCATTAGCAAACAGCTTTCCCATTCGTCCGCGATCGTCCGTTTCTGACTCTACACCTGGGTCCTTATTATCTGAATGACGTTTTTCCCTGTTTCTCCCGTATAAAGTTGCCCGCATTTATGTAGTAATTTCTATATCCGGCCTAGTTAATTATTATTCTCACAGTCACTTAATAAAGTATTAAGCTCATTAAAGCTTTATATCCTACATTAATATCTAGTGTTAAATAACAGTTGCAACTAAAAGTTTTATCGTGAGATGAATTCATTGAAGTTTACAAAATATAGTATTCCTTTACATTAATTGTTACAGATTGATTCAAGTAACTTATCCTACTGTTTACAATATTATTAACGAGTTTAATTCGATTTATCATTCTTCTTGTCATTTTTGATATACCTTTGAACTCGGTTTATGGAAGACTTATGAAATTAAGATGAATTTCTGAAATTCATATACACCAATATCTCAAGTGACAGAACACAAGTGCTTTCTATGGCTCAATGTTTAGCTTCACCAACGGCAATAACAAAATATGCACATTATCGGAACAAAGTTTCGGCTATAACAAGGACCCGATTGCCAATTGCTGCTTTACAGCATTCATGCATTCCCTCTACGACATCAATTCTGATCCTGCCTAAATTACTTATTTGATTAAAAATGTGCAATATTCATAAATTGGTAACTTTCATATTTGTGTATCTGCTTTAGTGCACAACTCCGTACGTTCAGTTGTATCGCTCGACGGAATTCTCTTTCACGCCGCAGTGTCAGGCGACTGTCGGAGACAGTGATCTGCAAGAACCGCCGCCAACAACTGCCGCCTGTTTTGGTACCTGGAATGTTGACGGCGAGATAATGCCCCAGAAAAATTTGACGACATATTTCAAGTAATTATTGTTTTAAATAAGTAAATTAATCTTGGTTTGTGGTCTTTGTTTAAAATCCTTTCTTCTGAAAATATTTTGACCGCAAACCGGTGGGGGGATGCAGCTTAGAAACCGCGAACGTCGGTCAGCGTCATCCTAAGTATCCTTCCCTATGGTGCGTTACTCTAATACCTTAATGGTTCATAGTTCAGTGACTAGCCCTCTTTTCCGCCTATTTTCTGGAGTAACGAGAATCATTTCCTTGTTCTATCAAGCGAGAGTCAGATAGGAAAATTCACCGCCATAGTTTCAGCTTATGAGGTATAGGATCTAACCCTGTAATGTAATTTGGACCTTCCCTTCCTCCCATTTCTAATTTATCACGCTTTATGATTCTGGAGCCATAGCATATCATACAACATACCACGCGTGAATTGCAACTCATCACGCGCTGCTGTCTTTTATTGCAGTATGTAAACGAGAGAGGTTCATAGTATGGCATCTGCTCTTTGCCTTAAGTTCTCTTGCTCACCTGGTCGATGGTCCAGTGGAAGATTAAGGCACAGTAAAGATTTGTGAAAATTTGTCACATCTGCGCTTGTTTGAAAATGCCTAAGGGGCCATAGAAGATGACCACGAATTCATGAAACGTTGGGTCTGTATAATAAAGTGTCCATCATGAATTTTTGGCTAAAGCAATACTTTGTTCATCACCAGTCGTGTTTTAGAAGACGGTAGAATTCGTGTAAAATCGAGGTCTTACGTTGAAATATTAATCGCTGCATTTGATCTTCTTAAATACCGTCTTAGCTTCTTCTTGTACAGGCAATAAAATCATTCGATGTGAAGCTCATGGCTTCATCCCGTAAAAAAGGAGATTTTGGTTATTGCTTGGCGTCATATTATGTGATGTATTGGTCACAATTGAATGACAAATATTTGCACAAATTTTGCAATTGCAACAAAATGCATATGTGAGTAGCCACTGAAACTGAAACAAGCGAAGAAAAAATATTTTTGATTTTATGACATGAGGGACAGCGTTATTGTCACTGCCTGCTTATCTTTTGAACTTCATGTCGTGGCAGTTTGACTCATTGAAAAACTTTTTCGATATCGGTCTAACGGCGCTGATTTGGTGGTAACTTGATGTTTACGAATTACACACATTGATCAGTTTTGCCTTTCTGATATTCTTTTTCAAATTTAATTACTTGTCGAGTAAATTTAAGCAATTTTAATTTTTAGGGTTCATCGGCAGCTTATACAGGTATTTGGTAGAGGTGTGGAAAGTTAGTTTTAAACAATCTCTTTACACTCATGTCGAGGTTATGATTTCTTTACTTTAGCTCTGTTGTGTTTTTCCGGTGCAGTGTTTTCTGCTCTTTTTATCAGCTGTGGTTTCGTTTTGACTTCTTATATTCTATTTTTGAAATATAAGTATTACATTTAGTTGTGCTCGATTTCACGTTGTTAACGTTAATATGTTTTAAAGTAATCCAGCCTCAATTTTCACGTCGCTACCTAAATGACCACGTTAAACTGCAAAAAGAAATGCAGTGGGGAAGGGGCTCTGACGAGCAGGTGCAAGTCCGAATGAAGCGGTGGGATGACAAAGGGTACTTGATGACCCTTTATCAATGCAAACACAATTAGTTTCTTGTTGTGTCATCTTAACAGCAAACGGTGGCTCATAGACAAAGCGGCGTAAGCTCTGATCGAACAATCCTTAATGGATAAAATTCGGAAATTGGAAATAGCATCATTCACGATTTAGACGGCTAACATCCGGAAACCTTGGTCTTAAAATCCTGTTCGAACCGTTGTCAGGATATCAGCGACTGAAAAACTGAAAATCGAATATAACAGAAACATCATAAATGCTAACGATGTTGGAAGCCCGTCTTAAACATGAAACGAAGCAGCAGGCCCTACACGTTCTACTGGGAAGATACGCAGCGATTTTAATTAATAAATTTTTGCTCCTCCCCCATCATCATCAGTGATGGAGACACGTGCTCCTTTTTATTAGGATGAATGTCTAAAAAAGTTATTCGCGATGGCAGTAGTCTTTAAATGTCCTTCTAATGAGTATTGTTTCAAAGATCTTTAGTAAGGTTTATGGACCACTATTGCTTTCGATTCAACTCTTAACTTTATTACAAAATGCCTTGAAACAGTTTGCTTTCTTAGAAAGGCGAAACAACTTCGGTGTTTCAAAAGACTACAAATTCCGGAGTGAACAAAATGAAGAAAGAGGAAAGATTGCAAAGCTGAAGATCTCGATATATCTTCCCTTTCATGATTGGAACCATTCATTTCATGAGGTTTATTGTATAGTGGTGATGTCCGTTTCTGTACCATCACCAGGGAGCGTAATTTACAGCTGTGGCAGTCCTGGCTTGTAGTGTCCTGTTTACTTGCTACAAGATGGTACTCGTTTATCTACTTTGCAGGTACGATAAGCGAGTGACCTGACCGAATATGGAACTTGCAGCTTTTCGGTTCCAAGCCTGGCACTACCGCCTGAACAACTCCGGCAAAAAGGTTGACTGCAGATAATAAATTCATACACCGTTTTAGGGGAGGCTCTGCCTAAAACGAAATAAATTCGAATATGTGCTTAATCGAATGCACAATCTGCACTTTTAAATGTAACGAAAGAATAAGTAATAGAGGCTCAAGGCCTGATCAATATTTACATCAACTGCAATCAACAGTGCCCCACACTGGTTATCTACGGGCAGAAAAGTCAAGAGCTCATTTAGCAATGCGCTTTTAAAACCATAGAAAACGAAGCGCATTGTATCTACTAGTCACTTTTACGGATTGACAAATAGCAACCCTAGGAACTTAACGGATCCACCTACTAAACAAGAGTATGATGCGAATTTGTAACAAGCGACTGGTAGACTTAATGCTACTAAACGGTATTTGTTAGTAATCCCTGGACACTCGTATGATCCTTCTGAATCTAACATTATAATCTAGAAATTAACGAAAAACTACATCCTTGGACTATAGACAGATCAAAGTTTCCAAATATCCAATATGTTCATCTAATAACGGAATGGAGTCGGGTTCAATTTGGTATGAACCGATGTGTTTGGAGCACGGTTCTACCAGTTTATAGTTTATATTTAAAGTTATATATTTTTATTCTTGTCTCCCTGCAACAGCATCAATCGCTCTTCGTATGTGGCGCTGGATCTTATCTTACTCAGATCAGATGTTGTCAGTCGAGACTCAACGAGGTTACTTTATTTAACCCGTTAACCGCCGAGCAATAAAAAATGATGTTTCAGAAGAATGTATGGCAAAGATAATTTTATTATAAATACGTGTGAATATGTGACAGCAATGCCACGATCAATTCAAAAACATTGCCGAGATATGCGATGATCGACATATGCAAAACATCGCTACTAGTTGAAAGAAAGCGCGTCCACCATCAGCTTTCTTTGTTCTGTCATGTGCTGGAATTTGTTTCCGGTGGCTGGCGAAGCGGATGGGGAGCGTCCGGCATACCTGAAAATCAAATCGATAGTGAAATTCGAAACCACGTGTAAGGGTCTATCTGTTTGCATATGTAATGCATAATGCTATAAACATACAGGTTAGAGGGCGAAATTTCTTAAGCTACATTCGAAATACAGTTTCGAAAAATCGAATAATAACTTAACATGGTGAATCATCAAATATTAAACGAAACAAGATAAATATGATTAATGTACAAATTGCTTGCCATTCTCGTTTTATTTTTATAAAATTTGCGGAGTATTGCATACAGTCTGACGTAAAAGCAAAACAGCAACTTTCCATCGAACATACACTTTAACATACGTTCGCTACTGAAGGAATTATTTACTAGCGAATGTCTGAAAATCATGCAGAGAGAAAAATCATTCATTTCCAGAAACAGATTAGGAGGCTTGTTTGCAAATTCTGACAGATATCTGGAAGAATGAAACAAACAAAAGAACAATAATGACTAAGGGCGAGTTTGAAAAGCAACTATGAAGAAAAAGTGGCCTTTATAAACATGAAAACTTCTCAAGAGTGTGTACTATAGATGAGTGACATGAACCAAAAAAACAGACTGTCAAGAAGGAAAAGGAAAAGTGCGAGAGGTCCAGAGACCGGATGCCGTTACGTGACCGTGGAGCGAAAAAACTGAAACAGTGACGATCGAACGTATCGCAAAAGAACAGCGTCGGGTTGGCAGAACTCATTGAAGCCTCGAAGATCCCAAAGAAAATATGATTAACTGTAACTTTCGTTGCACACGCGAACGATTTATTGAAAATTACCTTGTCGTAAAATAATAAGTTCTTATCCGTTATTTTACAAAAAACGGAATAACCAGTTACAATAAAGGCATATAAACTCAACAAAATAATTATTTCGATTTTAATATCAAACAGTTGCAATTGAAATAAATTTAACATCTAACCTCCTTTAAATTTACGCTTGTGCTTAAGCTGACTTTTACGATGATTGATTTCTTGTTAATGCCCACGTTGCTGCAAGAAAATTTTACCAGCAGAAACGGTCAAAATTTCTCCTTTCAGCTATGAATTTATAAGCCCTAAACGAAAAGAACGATTTGCATCATAACCTACATGTTGAACCTGAAGAAGATCCATGAGAGAGGAACTGGACCGTCGATATCAGTGAAGTACCTGACTGACAACCATTTGCTACGTGAATAAAAATAACCGTTTTATGTCATTATTCAATAAAGTTACCAACACGAACCAAATACCCCATCTTTGCAAATAACAGACACTTGGGTCTTTAGGGTTCCTGGCCATCCGAGAAAACTTGAACTTTTACAAAATTTATTACTTTAAAACCTCAAGAAAAAAGAGTCCAAAAATAGAAGTAGCCCTACTACTGTCATTTTTTTATTCCAAGATTCTGTAATAAATCAAACAGTACCTGAAAAAAGAAAATTTTCGAGTCTAGCGCAAAATATGCGGTTTGTTAAGATTGCAGATTTATTGGAAATTTCTTAAGATTAAACGAAGAGATAAACGTCGTTTATCTGGATCGAAGGCAATCACTACAAGAAGATGTTCATCGGGAAAACCATATGAAGACGTATAAAAGGGCTACCAACCATACGGCACCTGAGAAATGATAAAACAGCATCATGGTGTCGTTTTCCACACACTTTTTATATGGGGCACTCCTTTAACCTGAACAGTGCACATTTCTTTAAGTAAAGGGAGATAAAGCATCAGCCTATTGACTGAAGAACCGTTACCCATGTTAACTAACAATGACAGTGGAATGTGATCGGTCGAAAAAATTAATTTAACAAAGAATGCTGTCACTCATGTTTTAACATAACTATTTTCATGATATCGTGCTACTTCATTTGCATATTATTAGCCAGGTGATGACGCTAGTGTAAGAGGTTCAAACGCGTCTGTGAATAAAAATTTTACATCACTCTTGGCAGTATTTGTCTCGAAGCATGAATCGGGATGCGAAGACAACTAGTGGTCATTTAAACAGGTAACGACAGATAATTCTTTTCACGACATCGTAACATTAGCTCAGCCTAAAGTTTTTTCTACACTCTATATTAGCCTCTATAAGATTCACAGATGAAAATTGTTAAATAAAATACTATCGATCATAACATTTATGAAACCAAAATTTGTGTAAATGAAATCGCTTTTTGGTATCTGTGAATATAAGGTTTGAAAAGTCACATATAAGGTGAAACTAGCTCTGAGCGTTGTTACCTGACGTTGCGGTCATTTTTCAGTAGAGTCGATATACGCGGGTGCACATACAACCAAGCTCCCATATTTTTATGTTCTTCCTGTGCCCATACGAGCTCGGCATTCGGATACTTCGCCGTTTCCTTCTGAACCAAATCATATGGGAACGGACAGATCTGAGAAAGTAACTGATGAGTAGGAAATCACAGACAAAACATATTCAATGCGCAGCACCTGTTCCAAGCGAGCGATGGCAACTTGATCATCCTCTTTCAGCGTAGCGCGTTCCTTAACCAAATCGTAGTAGACTTTGCCTGAGCAGAAGATCAGTCGCTTCACTGCCGAAGGATTTTTAGAGGCGACACCGGTTTCAGGAAGTACTCGTTGGAAGGAAGTGCCTTCCGCGTAGTCAGAAAGTGGAGAACGAGCGTCTGGGTGACGAAGAAGGCTTTTCGGAGTCATCACGATCAACTGAAAAATGTTATATAGTAACCAAGGAAGTTGGAAATAAAGATACACTCGGTTCGTCATATATCTTTCTAAGGAATCAATCCATTTTTACATACTTTTGGCAAGTCATTACATAGAAGTTAAGACAAATCGCAGCCGCAAAGCAAACAGTAGACAACATAGCACACCAGAACACTGCTATCCATACTATTACTGGCAAATCAACCATCTGCTACCCCTTTCTTGGCTGAATGCATCAAAACACAGTACGATACCCTGTTCAAGGGTTCACACGCAATACCCTGGTCAAGGGAATTAGCAGATATGAAGAAAAGTTTATGCCGCGCATGCGTTTTAAAGTTTCAACCCGACAGTTTTACAGTTGAAATCAAACTACTTCTTAGCAGCGCAACCGCCCCATAATCTTTGACATCAATCTGTTGATAGATTCGGTTCCAAAACCGGTTCCTGGTTAGAGCTTCGTTATGTAAAACACGGTAAATACTCATCAATAAGGAAGGCGGTATCGCGAAACCGGCTACACATTTAATCACGTCACTTTTGTGGTGATACGCAAAAAGCGCTCGAACTAAGCAGCGAGTATAATAACCCATTAGGGTCATTGCGAATTCAGCTATGAAGGAACGTTTAACGAAATGTCAGGCATCCGAGAACAATAGCGATCTCAACAGTGGTTGCTGATATGACTTAGATAAACTCATCGACCCAGAAAACGTTACCACACATTGTAACTAACTGATAATTAATTTACTGAACGAGACATGCAAAGTCGCAATTGTTCTACCGAACTTCCTCATTCCCCTTCCTCGTTCCCCGTTCAAAAGATGTAGACTCTGAAGAACAAGCAGTGTGATGCGCTGCGACCAAACGCTATTCTTAAAACAACAAATGATGCTCTAAGGACTGACATCAGTCAGCAGGTCATATTCTGTCCACATTCACCAACAGAGCG